AAAAAAAAAGGATCAAAGAAGTCAAATAAGTAAAAAAAAAGACACCAAAGAAATGGAATAAAAAAAAAAACAAAAAAAATAAAAAGATAAAAAAAAAAAAAAAAGGATCAAAGAAGTCAAATAAGTAAAAAAAAAGACACCAAAGAAATGGAATAAAGGGGAGAAAACCTCACAAAAATAAATAAATGAACAGAGAAAAGCACAGCGGGGAGAGAGAACAAGAGAAGGAAAAAAGAAACCAGAAAGAATTTAAATAAATAAAAATTAGCACCGAAAAGAAATAAATAAAAATAAAAGAAAACAAGGCCAAAAAAGCCGGGAAAGAAATAAAGGAAGGAAAAAAAAAAAAAAAAGAAAAAAAAAAAAAAAAAAAAAAAAAAAAAAAAAAAAAAAAAAAAAAAAAAAAAGGAAAAAAAAAATAAAAAAAAAAAATAAATGAAAGAAGGAAAGGAGAAAGAGGAAAAAAATCAACAGAGGAAAAAATAAATTAAAATAAAATAAATTAAATAAACAAAGGACGGAGAGGAGAAGAAAACCCAACGGACAAAATAAAAGTGGGAAAAAATTAAAAATAAAGAAAGGAAGAAAAGGAGAAGAAAACTCAATGAACAGAATAAAAATCAGGAAAAAATAAATTAAAAATAAATAAATTGAGGGCGGGAAGGAGAAGGGGGAGAAAACGCAATGGACAAAAAATCCGGAAAAATTAAAATTCAAAAAATGAATTAGAAAGGAAAGGAGAAGAACGAAAACCCGATTGATAAAAAACAGAAAAGTGAATTAAAATTTAAAAAAATAAAGAAAAAAGAAAAGGAAGAGAAGAAAACCCAACAGACAAAAAACCCGGAAAAATTAAATTAAAAAATAAATAAATACGGATGGAAAGGAGAAGGAGAAAAAAGCCCAGCAGAGGAAAAAAGTGGAAAAATTAAAATTAAAAAATAAATAAATAAGGAAGAAAAGGAGAAACGCAATGGACAAAATCAAGGCAGAAACAAATTAAAATTAAAAAAATAAATAATTAAGAAAGGAAGGGAGAAGAAGAAAACCCAACACACATGAAAAAAAATAAAATTTAAAAAATAAATAAATAAAGAAGGAAAGGGGAGGGAGAGAGAAGAGAACCCAATGGAAGAAAAAGTGGAAAAAATTAAATTACAGTTTTAAAAATAAATAAAGGAAGGAAAGGAGAAGAAAACCAACAGGAAAAAAAAATCCGGAAAAATTTAAATTATAATTAAAAATAAATAAAGGACTGGAAGGGAAGGAGAAGAAAACCCAATGGAAGAAAAAGCGGAAAAATTTAAATTGTAATAAAAAAAAATTTAAAGGGCGGAGAGGAGAAAACCCAACACAGAAAAAAAATATAAAAAGTTAAAATTAGAATTTAAATAAATAAATAAAGGATGGGAAGGGAAGGAGAAGAAAACCCAACACAGGAAAAAAACAAAAAAATTAAAATTATAATTAAAATAAATAAAAGGAGGGGAAAGGAAGGAGAAGAAAACCCAACAGAGGAAAAATACCGAAAAAACTAAAATTACAATAAAAAAATAAATAAAGTATGGGAAGGGGAAGAGAAGAAAACCCAACACAGGAAAAGAAAATTAAAAAAAATTATAATTTAAAAAATAAATAAAGTATGGGAAGGGGAAGAGAAGAAAACCCAACACAGGAAAAGCCGGGAAAATTAAAATTCTAATAAATAAAAATAAATAAAGGATGGGATAGGAAGGAGAAGAAAACCCAACACAGAAAAAAAAATTTAAAAAAATATATAATTTCAAAAATAAATAAAGGATGGGATAGAAGAAAACCCAACACACACACCAAAAAAACCAAAAAAAAAACCAAATTAAACCGCCCCAAAACAAAGCCCAACCACGCCAAGAAAACCCCAAATCCCGGCTAAATAAACCCAAAATCAGCGCGGAGCGGCCGGGCGGGGCTGCCCCGGCTGCAAAGGCCAAGTACGCCAATTATTTCAATTATTTGAATTTTTTAAATTATTATTTGCATTATTTGCATTATTTGCATTATTTGCGTTATTTGCATTATTTACGTTATTTGCATTATTTGCATTATTTGCATTATTTGCATTATTTGAATTATTTTCATTATTTGAATTATTTGCATTATTTGCATTATTTGAATTATTTGAGTTATTTGAATTATTTTCATTATTTGCATTATTTGCATTATTTGAATTATTTACGTTATTTGAATTTTTTGCATTATTTGCATTATTTGAATTATTTGCATTATTTGCATTATTTGCATTATTTGAGCGTTATTTGAGCCGGGAAATGCCCAAAAATCCCAATTTTGGCGCCGCGGAAATGGGGCCCGGGGGGCAAAAACCGGAATTTCACAGCGGGATCGGAGCGAGGATGCGGCGGGAAAAGAGGAAAAAAAAGGGAATTTTGGACGGGAAATCCAGCGAGGGCGGGCAGGGTGAAAATAAAAGTATTTTTAGTGGAGGGAAAATGGGAATAAAGGGAATTTTTAATTGAAAATAGAGCGAGAATGGGGAGAGAAATCAGGTACGGGGGTGGAAATAAAGTGAATTTTTAATAATAATAATAATTAAGTGAAGGTGGGGAGGGAAATCGGATACAGGGGTGGAAATAAAGTGAATTTTTAATTGAAAATAGAGCGAGGATGGTGCAGGAAATCAGGTACAGGGGTGAGAATAAAGTGAATTTTTAATAAGAATAAAGTGGGGATGGGCAGGGAAATCAAAGGCAAAAATAAAGTTTTTTTTTTTAGCCGGGACAAAATGAGGATGGGGAGGGAAATCAAAGGCAGAGGAGCAGAAAATAAAGTTATTTTTTAGCAGAGAATAGAGAGAGGATGGTGCAGGAAATCAGAGGGGAAATAAAGTTATTTTCAGAAGAAATAACGGGGTTTTTTTAATAAATAAATTTATTTTTCAGAAGAAATAAAGTTATTTTTCAGAAGAAATAAAGGGGTTTTTTAAATAAATAATTTCATTTTTCAGAAGAAATAAATTTATTTTTCAGAAGAAATAAAGTTTTTTTCAAATAAATAAATTTATTTTTCAGAAGAAATAAAGTTGTTTTTTTTAATAAATAAATCTATTTTTCTGAAGAAATAAATTTATTTTCAGAAGAAATAAAGTTCTTTTCCAGAGGAGAAGAAGGTGAGGACGGATATCAGGCGGATATCACAGGAAATCAAAATAAAAAGTTAATTTTTGGGCAGGGAACGGAGTGAGGGGTGACGGAGAGGATGCAGAGGCAGAGGAGCAGAAAATAAAGTTATTTATTAGAAAGTGAGGGTGGGAGGGAAATCAGGGATAAAAATAAAGATATTTATTAGAAAGTGAGGGTGGGAGGGAAATCAG